CAAGGACCAGTCACCTCGTCCTTCAGTGGATTCGAACCCCCGACATAAGGATCAGCTCCTTAATCAGCGACTCTAGAGCAGACGCTCTAACCACTCCGCCACGCAGGCAACTGTTACCCTTTTTTTCACTGACATTGAACATACACAAATAACTATGAGTCAGTAATGTGACGTAACCCACATCATAAGCAATTTTTTTGCCAAGTGACTTTCTCTACAGCAAAGCCATAAGGCTCTTACATGAATTTGCTAAAAAAAAAAAAAAAAAAAAAAAAAAAAAAAAAAAAAAAAAAAGATGAAAAATAAATTCCTAGTAAGTAGTTTTAAGGATGGGGGTATAATGATAGAAAAGAATAACCTTTACCCAGAAACTCAGAGTTCTTTGTACATTTAGCACATGTTTCTCCTGAAGCTGACACTTGCATTGCGTTTCTTCAGCCTTGATTTTGGAGAGCTCACTTGCAAGAGTGAAAGATAGATCTTTCTCATTACAAATAATGTTTTGACATTTGAATCCTTTATGGAATATTTTTTCCCATAGAAATGTTTTCGTCAATTTTTCTAGGGCAGTTTCAATTGAGTCTCCAATTTCATTTGATACGTCTTTGTCTACAGCTAACCGGCTGAGTCGTAACACTTGTAACTGAATATCATCATTACATATGCCAACAACAACGGTATGCTCCTTGTGATCAAACACTGCTGCGGTTTGATAAAGACATAGATCTCCTTCATTATCATCGTCTATTGCAACATTCCACCTAAGAAAACTCATGCAGTATGCTACCAGTCTGTAGAAAATAAACATGGCAAAAGAAGTGAATCGATAGCATAAAATGGATGAACATTCCCACTTTTCCTCACAAAAGTTAGCTTTGAATTGTTTTTTATTCATACAAGGGACATACCATGACATGCAACCTTCTGATCCAATCTCCAGAGATACAAGCATTTGAAGCTTTTCCATGTAAGACATGATTTCACTTCTGTGTTTTAAGTATGAATCTTCATATTTCCACAGCGCATCTACCACTTTGTCCTTAAGTTCCCCTGTTTTGTTGAAGGATTTCCATTCTTTGATCAATCTCCTTTTGCAGTCTTTATTGATATGGTTTACATCAGCAATGATCTTGCTGAAAGCATTAGCAAACCACTGAATGTCTAGTATGACATGTTGCCCCAATTTCTCTTCTTCAAAATACAAGAGAAGTCCATTATCATGGAAGCACTTTAAAAACTTAGACATTTCCTCCTCACTTTTAATTTGGTATTCGTCAGGTAGGGATGAGTTGAGCTTCCAGATTTCACTCAGGGACAAAACCTTCCAGGCTCCTTCATACAATAACTGTTCCATTAAAGCCCAAGAAGAAGGCAATTCAATTTTTGTATTGACGTCATCTTTGAATAGTTCAACTATTGACTTTTTCATTGATTCCAGCAATTCCTTTGTTTCGTTATTTAGTTCCACTAGACCCACTGCATATTCACGGTCATTCAGAGACTCACTTAACCAATCTCTGTCGTCGTTTGGTACAGCTTTCCAAAACTCCTCAAGATAATTCTCTATTTCCTGAAGGGGATAAAAAAAATAGAAGCATAAATAAATACCGGAGTGCTACAGCGTACTGTGCTGTAATTTAAAAGCTTTTAAAATGTTTAAAATCTGGATTCCAGATCATAAGGATGTCTGTTAGAGTACATTTCTGAATGCATTGTTCACTGACATGTTGACTGACACACGAATGCCATGCAACTTTTGATCAGGAAAAAACTCTCTTCATATAAACAAGCATGCCTTGCCTTGAAATTTGCTTAAAATAGGGCTGGAAATGTACAAACTAAAATTGAAAAGAAAACCTTTATTTACAAATGCTTTCAAATCACATTCAAATTACAACATGATAGCCTAAATGCTTACTTCTGTAGATTTTGTTTCTGTGTGTGTGACAACTACAAACAATGATGCCTTAGGGCCTCCAAATATCTTGATTGAAGTAATCCAAAACTTAAGGTACTCTACAAGAAAAAGAAGACATCACTTTAAATAGGAACTAGTGTGTTCTCTGATAAGACTGAAGCTCTACTGGTATGTACTCGGTGTATGCTAGTATAGTGTACTTCTTTACCAAGTCTTACTAAAATTCGACCAAAAATGAACTAGTAGTAGCGTTTTGAAGGAATTTGAAAGAAATTTCTTTTCTTTAATGACCATGGCAGCATCATTTGTCAAATCAAAAATCAATACAGAAAATTATCTATCTTAGTATATAATGCACTTGTCTATTGAATCTTATTCAAATTGGACCAAAACTGTAGAAGGAGTAACGTTTTGAAAGAATTTCACAGAACTTTTACTTTAATATTCATGGAAACACCGTTTGTAAAAACAAACATCGATACAGAACTACATATCCTAGTAATATACTGTAGTGAACTTAAGTAACAGTATTACTGAAATAAGACTAAGGCTGTAGGAGGAGTAGCGTTTACAGAGACAGATAGGTAGACGGACAGAGAAACACATTACCACTGCCTAAACTCTTCTCATCTCTGACCAGTACTTTTGTTAATTTTATTAAAGGTCACTGTCTAGACAAGTAATATGCCCCCTCCCCCTCCCCCCACACACAAAAACGTGGTACTATGTTCTTGTAAACTTGGAATAAAACAGAGAAAATGTAGCATTTTAGAATATCATACATTCGAATTTAAGTAAAATTTTATGTCAACATCCTTCATTGAAAACTAGAATAATATATGTTGAGACGTGTGTATCAATTTATTAAAAAGATTATACAATAAACGTATGAGGAGAAAGTAGCGTTTGATGTCTCTTCTATTTATGTTTACTTATGATGATTTTAAATGATATACAAGTACTATAATGCATGCATTGGAGACAAGATCTTCCAACAATCTATGTTGCTTTTTGGCAGACCTCATGATCAATTTTGTATTGATATTAAATTTTTTTTACAAAAGAGACAAACTTTTCCATTGTTTTTAATTTCGAACTCTGCATATTGATGGCTCCAACAATTAAGTTAACAATGTTTATTTTCATTCATATGTCACAGTGAACTTGAAATAAAACATACGAATGCAAGGAGTCTTTCTATATTTGGATATTCAGATTCTACTGAATATTAAATTGACTTAAATGGCTAATGAACAATTCTCTGTTAACTTCAGATTTCTTAATCTTATTTATCACCTGTTTCAGTTAAGGAGAGTATGTGTTACATTTATGTGCAATAAATATTTAAACGGATTGAAAGAAGGCAAATAGTCATGCACACAGTTTTCTTGTTAGGGATTCAAAGGAAGTTAAACCAAAGTCTATGATACAACTGTATCTCTAATGTTGTGTACTTATAAAAGAGGAACGTTGTCCTCAAACTTAAATGACACAATATGTTAGTACATTGTATATTGGCATTTTGTATTCATTATATATAATAACATAGGTTATATGAGGACTGAGTATTTGAATTACTCTAAGCTAAATGAGGACTGAGTATTTGAATTACTCTAAGTTATATGAGGACTGATTATTTGAATTACTCTAAGCTAAATGAGGACTGATTATTTGAATTACTCTAAGTTATATGAGGACTGATTATTTGAATTTCTCTAAGTTAAATGAGGACTGATTATTCGAATTACTCTAAGTTATATGGGGACTGATTATTTGAATTACTCTAAGTTAAATGAGGACTGAGTATTTGAATTACTCTAAGTTAAATGAGGACTGATTAATATTCGAATTATTCTAAGTTATATGAGGACTGATTACTTGAATTACTCTGAGTTATATGAGGACTGATTATTATAATTACTCATTCTGGAATGTTTTGATTACTGTCAATACAAAATATATTTATTCAAACTTTTTTACACACATACAAAACCAATGTAAAAATACATAGTGGTCTATTTGTATGCCAAATGCTGTTATTATTTAAGAAGTGCAATCTTTTTCATTTCAATTTAACATTATATCATTTTCAAAATAGGGTGCCTGGCTTTACCCCCAGGAAAAATGTTCAATGTCAACAAAGTTTTAATGAACAGAAATCACTATTGTTTACTTAAGTGGGGAAAAAGCATGCAGATTAGGTTTTCAATTCATTGCCTATCAAATTGTCAAGAATGCTTGAATTGATTAGAAATTGATTGATAAACTGTAAATTTCAATTTATTTTATTTTAGATCTAGGGGCAGATTACTCTAACTACATAAAAAAACCACAGAATAAGAACTCTTTGGTGTGCAGTGTATAGAGGGTTCTTAAACACTGACCAATCGGCTAAATGAGTTGAATTGCATTATGGGTTGATACAAGAATACATTATGCCAAATTTTGTACTTGTTCTGGGAAGAAAGTTAACATTACATTTTTAAAGCATTTCACAGATTTAATATATTATTTCCAAGCTCACATTTACAAACAGTTTATAAAGACAGACGTTTAGTTTTCTCTATTGTCCACATGGTGACTTGATTTTGATATATTATTTAAAGTCTCAGATAAACAACAGTACTCCGTTTCTTAATATGAGCATGGAACATTTTTATTTAGTACATAATCTTTGTATTTAAAAAAAAATGAAAATGAGTTTCCGTTGTCTTCCCCGCATTTCAATGAACATTTACTCGTAAATTGACCAGAACCGTGTGTTTTTGTAAAATGAAAAAAAATATGTAGTAGACCATCACGCTTTGCTATTCATTTATAGGATTGGACAACTATTTATGGTAAACTAAATGGTGTGCCAATATAACAAGTGCCATATAAGGTAGATTCTTCGATCTGTTTAACTCAAATTTATATTTTCAAGATATAACTTAATTACCTTAACCCATGAGTTTGAATCTTGTCCTACGGAACATAAATTTCACACTTCTGGAAGATATATGTGGTCATTTATTCTTAATCTTACAAACAATTTACCTGATGGAAGTCTATGAGTATTTAAGATTTTCAAACAAAATCTAACCTTTATACGTCCACACAGAGAAGATTGATCCTTCTTGATTATCTTTCTCTTTACTGACAACATCTTCAAACTTCTTAGTCATGTCCAACACAAGGATGAAGAAGGCCTTTGGTGTTACGTAAATTTGATGGCAAGCATAATATGCTAACTGCCCAGCAAAATCCAGCATGCTTACTGTTGGTAACTTCTCTTTTTCAGATAAGATTTTCTGAAAAATTTCATCTTTCACCATTGCTTGTTTTTCTGAAGAGAGAACACTGGCCATTGTTTCTACTGTATTCTCTTCTTTTTTGCGTTTAGTTGGTGGGCTAGACAACTCTACATTATCTTCTTCCTTTTCTTCCAGGCTATGAATTACTTCAGTATCTTTACTGATATTCTTCTGTTCCAAATTGTCTGTATTTTTAATTAAGTCAGAGCTGTCCATAGCACTTCTTGGATCTGGCTTCAAATCTGCAGAATGTATCCGAATAAATGTCTTCAACGGCGAGTCCCCATTAGCCACTGTTAAATAAAAAAAAATTATTTCCTGTTTTAAAACAATAATATCATTTCACCAAATCTAAGGAATGAAAAAATGAATTTACACTACACAAATTGTCTTCAATGACGAGTCATCATCAGCCACTGTTAAATAAAATAGAAATTTTGATTTCCTGTTTTAAAACACATCATACTACAAACCAACAGTGAGAAATATCCGCAAGTTTCACAACTTTCTTTTACTAGCGAATATTTCTTGTTGCTAACCCTTTATTCACCTATGTATTTATGTAGAATGTTGCCTCGATCGTGAAAATTAGTAGTCCTGGGTGGATTCCAAACTAAAGAATCGCGAATTAAAAATGTAAAGTTGTGAATAATAGTTGGTTTTAAATTACAGAATCATTTCATCAAATATAAATTTTAAAAAACCTACCCTACACGAGGTGGACATGATTTGAACAAATTTGAATCTGCACTCCTGAGCATGCTTGTATATAATGACCAATTATGGCTTTGTTTTTCTTGAGAAGAAAAAAAATAATGATATTCCCTCATTACACGTTTTTGATTCCCGACTTTGTTATACAAGAGGTCAATGGGCCACAATGGTCACCTGAGTTACTATGGCCCTGTTGTTCTGCTAGATTTTTCCCCAATATTCATGTATTCCTCTGTAAAATTTTGATCACTTTATGTGGCCCCACTCTGTACACATGGAATGTGACTTGAACAAAAATGAATCTACCCTACCAGAGGATGCTTCGATCCACATTAATGTGATTCATCATGTCTTTGCTTTTTTTGAAAAGAGGAGTTATAAATAATCCCTATGGTGACTCCCCCCCCCCCTTTGGAACAATAATTAGAACAATTTGCAGCTTGGTTAAAGACGCCAATGAAATAAATGCCTTAAATTATTCAGAGAAAATGAATACAATCTTAATAATTTTTTAACAGATAAATGTGAATTGCGGTGTTTGCACTTGTATATATCGGGTCTCTGCTGAGTTCGGCCAAAGCGACATCGCTTACATCAGCTGTTTGTCACGTGACAGGTTTAAAATTAGAACAAATATGTACTTCTACAAAGATCGTAAAAGTTCAATGATATACGGGTATCTTTCCGCTATTAAATTTATTCAATTTTCTTTGAGGCAAATTTCTTAACATGAAAAGTGCTTGGAGCAACTTTCTGATGTTCAGGAATTGTGAAAAATTTAGCCATCTTTCTATGAACTCCAGACACAGATGTAATCAGCATTGGAATAATATTACATTACGGAATAAATAAACAATGCACAACAAGCTCCCAGCACTTTTCAAAATAGTAGGAATAATACATGTAGCTACATGCGTTAAAAATTCAAAGTTTATAGTGAAGCGAATATCGTTGAACTTTGGATATTTTTGAGGGGGTCGACCTATCATCCTACCACGTTACTGTACAAATGTGCTCCCAACGACTATATATAAAGTCTACACATTATCAATTTAGTTTGACAATAAAATGTGGATTAATATATTTCAGAATATGTCTCCTTTTTGGTCCGATTATGCTTGTTTCGTATTTATTTTTATTTTTACAAACAACGATAATAGCTTGATCCACGCTTCATGTACATAGAAACTGCGTGTCAAACTAAGAAATGACGTCATCTCAGTAAGTACAGCGAGATCAAGCTGGCTTTCATTCTTCATTCGCTAAGTGCCATTATGGCGATATAAGTTGCACATCCATTTATGCTTACAATATTTATGAAAAACGAAAGTATTTGAGTGTATTTCAGAAAGAACATATAGCATTTATTCATCGAGATTCTTTTGTATGGTTTTAACGTGACGTCATAATAACTTTCCAGAACCTCTGCATATGCTAAGGTAAATTAGGGAGTCCTTAACGCAGGCACTTGTTATGTATACGGGGCACCCATACTTATTTTTACCACAAGGTACCTAACTCAATTTCAGGCACCCCCGCTTCAAGCTCGTATTTTGTTCATATATCAATCACTAACCTACTTTGAAATTATATCGTTTGCTTCGAAAGACTTTTTTCTTGTCAAATAAATCCTTTCAGACGTCTCTGGTCGAGCCTCTTTATTGTAAACCACTCATTAATTACCTCGATACATTTTAAGACTTTAGGTGGGATACAAATTTCCGGATTACAAAACAAGTGCCTGTGGTCCTTAACCTAGCTGCGAATTTACAATTAACACTATTTCAGTAAGCTTTCACCCTAAGTTTCATCTTTTCTGGTCCAGTAGTTCTTGAGAAGGGGATTTTTCCTCAATATTTCAATATAAATCCTTGATTCCCTATTATGGCACAACTCTACCACGGGGACCCTGATCTAATTAGTTTACACCCTGGAGGCCTTAATTTGAATATTAAAAATCTGCACTACCTCAGGAAGCTTCCATATAAGCATAAGCTTTTCAGGCCTAGTGGTTCTTGAAAAAAAGATTTTAATGATCCCATCTATTTTTGCCTTTTCTTGCTGATCTCCCATTGGAAGGGGGCTTGGACCTTATCTTAAGAATTAAGAATTCCTTTTACATAGGAATACTTTGTACTGACTTTGGTTAAAAGTGGCCCAGTGGTTCTTGAGAAGGAGTTTACAGACTGGCAGACAGGTGGACGATGGACAACAGGTGATCAGAAAAACCATTTGAGTTCAGGTGAGCTAAAAAAAGTTAAAATGATTTTAAATGAAATAAAATGTATTTTAAATATAAATTAAATAAACCAACCCCGTAAACAAATATGAAATATGTTATAACTGTATAAGTGATGTTATTCATTAAAAGTTTTATTTTTTTTATTCTGCACTAACAAAGGTATTTAATCATGGCTTTACACCCCTTTGGATCCACACACTTCACATACACTATTACAAGATAACACACCCATCTATTGGTCAGATTTTAAAATGGTTAGATCCCATTGGTTGTACTTTTTGTCTTTGTTGGGTACTGAGTTTTATTCAGATTGAGTCAAGATCTACATTTCATGTACAGAAGACAGTATTTTTTTTTTTTTTTTTTTTTGCTGCTGACTTTAATTTAATTTCCAAGCCCTTTGACATTCCTGAAATTTCAGTTTTCACCTTTCTAGGCTTCTATGGTATGATTTCCACGAAGATAAATGAAAGAGAGGGAAAACAGAATGCTTTACAGTAAAATATTAATAATTATGTTAATTTATTTGTCTGCATATTCAGATACAGATAAATCTAATGAAGTTTTCTCATATCTATCAAGAACTATTTTGAAGTGAAATTATCAGTAATCAATATATTTTCAATATCTGCTGGTAATGAAAAGGTATTTGTAAAGAACAAATCCTGGATATTTTATTCATTTTACTCAGTTAACACCATACACAGGTACGTTAAGGCTTCCCAGAGAATATCGCAGTGTACTCTGTGCCTTCACTTCTCTGAACTACAAATGTATGACGTCATAATTGAAAATGACGTCAAGTCACTGCAAACTTGAGCTGTTATGTTGGGGAGAGTGTCATAAACTTTACACCTTATTTCAATCTACATATAAAGTGTCAGAAAGGTAGTGTAAAATAAACGTGTTTTAATTTTTTTTTCTTCTAAAAATCTTATATATCTAAATATTTTAGATAACTTTGCTTTATTACTCTTGTTTAAAAGTCAGCATTTTCAAAATAATTATATACGAAAATATACGTTTGACATTTACCCTTTTTTATACCCTTGGATAGAAGTAGAATTTATAATATGTGTATAAAGAGCATGGCACAGGTGATTAATGAGGATTTATTTGAGATCTTTTGTGGAAATGTGTAAGAGGAGTTTCTGCTCTAACTGAATCTTGCTTGGGAAAAATGTGTGTTGGCTTTGTTTTAATACAGATGACGATATTGAGTGGAAAATATCCTCAAATTTGTCGGTAAGTTGAATTTATTGTGAAATATTTTGTACCAGAGTAATAGTATAACTTTTCCCATGCACATTTTGGGTTCACAAGGATGCGACGAGTTTATTTATGTGACAAAAAGTTAATAGTTATTGTATTAATCAGTTGCGCTGAAGCGATTTGTGTGAAACACCTCAAAAAAATAGAAATGACCATCACGTGATCAACGAGATCATGTGATATCGTAACAAATACGTTTATATACAGCATAGAGAACTCTCTATAAAAATAGCCTGTACTTAAGTACATAACTTACAAATAAAAGTAAAAATCAACCTTGCAATGCAGAGTTATGTTTTGAACGCATTTAAAGCTTCGGGAAGCCATAACATTACTTCGTATATAAAAGATGTAAATTATTGAATCTGGAGAGAGTTCAATTCCATAAACCAATTAGTATGACTATTTGGATATATTAAAATGCATAAAAAAAGGTAACTCTTCACTATACTGTAAAAAAAGAATTATGCTTTAAGAGTTAACTCCCCATCATAAGTATTTTCTTTATGTATTGTTATCATACTGAGTGATATCAAAACATGATATGTTAGTTGTAAAAGGCAAGACATATACTTTGTTATATTCTTATGATAAGAATAATAGATAAGTAATATACTTTATGTACATATTTTTATGAGGCAATTTAAACACTGCAGGACATGACCATTTACTAATTTATCCATTGTCATCTAATCATGCACAAAATTAAAACCATAAACTTGATCAACTGTGTTTTCCATTATTGCCAGGAATACCCACTACAATTAATTAGTCAAAATTAAATCCACAAAATCAATATGACATTCATAGCCTTTTTATTTTAGAAAAATATATACATATCCTGTATACATGCATTATTTTAGGAATGACTCTAATCTTGGCAAATTATTCGAGTATAACCTGGTTTGGGTCAGTTTACGCTTTATAATCCGCGAAGCGGATTATAAAACAGCGTAAACTGACCCAAACAAGGTTATACTCGAATAATTTGGCCAAGATTAGAGTCATTCCTTATAACTTAATTTCAAAATCATTAAATAACTACGGGTGTAAAATTTTGTTGCTTTTTATTTGTTCAAATTTGCCGCTCAATAATACAACCGTAGTATCAGAAGTGATGGGAAGCGAGGGGAGGTAAAAAACTGATACATAGGCCTAGTAGCCTTGTTGTTTGTTTACATGTGGTAAGATCGAATTATTGTTTGAAGTTAAAGGTACATTTATTGAATCTGGAATTTTCCATGAATCCCGAGGACTGGAAGTGAGAGGATTGTATGGATACAGATGATTCAGCTAGTTGTCGGGGGGGGGGGGGGGGTGTCCCCGTACCAAACCAGGTTATACAGAAATAATTTGTGTTCCTTTTTGGATATTAACCAATCAGAAGCTAGAATACAAACAAAATTAAATTATGTAAACTTATGCTCCTATCTAACTCTAGAATTTTTTTTTTTTTGCAAGGCTAACTTCTTGAAATTTTGTATATTTGTCCAATGTGTATGAATCAGAAATAAATTTTAACCTTCCAGAATTCTGTCTTTAACAACGAAGAGATGTTGATGGACTTCCAGACCCCTGGTTGACTTTGTAACTTCACTGATATTCTGATGTCGCCCTTTTAATCTCTCCAACAGTGTTGTTTTTCCAGCCTCAGCACATCCAACAAGTATTCCTCTGGCATGGAAAATGTTCGTCTTCTCCTTCCTCAAAAACTTCTTTAGCTCATCCATATTAACCTTATCTAAATCATCATTGCTTGCACCTAAAAAAAATCACATTCTTATCATAATTCATAATACACCCCTCCCCCAAATGCTAAAACTTAATGCTCATCAGTTTAAATAGCTATCGATTAGCTTTTCTTTAAATAGCTTTTCTCTAAATTTGTTTTCTTAAGCTATGAACATGATGAATCAGTGGTGTTCCAAGAAAAGGTTTTGAATTTTAAAGTATGCTATGAAGTAATGCAATAAAGCTTTGTCCATTTAGAGTATTTTTATCTTTTTTAAAACACATTTTATCAGTACATGGAAACATTGTGTTATTGCTTATATTCATAATTTTTAAAACAGTTTATAGAGTTGGCTCCTAAAATAAATTGGCCTGGCATCTAAAGAAATGCACTGGTGTTTTTTTTAGTTAGGAACCAACAGTTGGCGCCTAAATTATAGAGGCCACTTTGAGGCCTGCCACTCTTCTCTTCATAGCAATCAGTGTAATCTATACCATCTGTCTGTGTTATCTTTACCCTCAGTCTGTGTTATCTTTACCATCAGTCTGTGTTATCTTTACCGTCAGTCGGTGTTATCTTTACTGTCAATCTGTGTTATCTTTACCATCAATCTGTGTTATCTTTACCATCAGTCGGTGTTATCTTTACTGTCAATCTGTGTTATCTTTACCATCAATCTGTGTTATCTTTACCATCAGTCTGTGTTATCTTTACTGTCAATCTGTGTTATCTTTACCATCAGTCTGTGTTATCTTTACCATCAGTCTGTGTTATCTTTACTGTCAATCTGTGTTATCTTTACTGTCAATCTGTGTTATCTTTACCATCAGTCTGTGTTATCTTTACCGTCAGTCTGTGTTATCTTTCCCATCAGTCTGTGTTATCTCTACCGTCAGTCTGTGTTATCTTTACTGTCATTCTGTTATCTTACCGTCAGTCTGTGTTATCTTTACCGTCAGTCTGTGTTATCTTTCCCATCAGTCTGTGTTATCTTTACTGTCAATCTGTGTTATCTTTACCATCAGTCTGTGTTATCTTTACCGTCAGTCTGTGTTATCTTTACTGTCAATCTGTGTTATCTTTACCGTCAGTCTGTGTTATCTTTACTGTCAGTCTGTGTTATCTTTACGGTCAGTCGGTGTTATCTTTACCCTTATTTGACCTATGCTTAGCTCTCAGGGCCATTGAGCAGTGAGGGATCTTTTTTGTGCCAGCACCTACTGCGACACGGGACCTCGGTTTATACGGTCTCATCCAAAGGACCGTTCTACAGGTCCCGCAGTGGGATTCTAACCTGCGATTTAAGGATCAACTCCTTACTCCACGACTCTAGAGCAGACACTCTAACCACTGCGCAACGCGGGCGACTACATCGCAAGTAATTTGCATTGTAACAGTTGATCAATTAAAGCTATTTCTTCAGTAATACCTGATTAAATCTGATTTTTATTTAGAAATCTATCTATATACATATTTTACAAGTCCATCACACATGCTATAATTAACTTTTTGTAAATGTGTGAGTGAATTTGGCAGGTGGTGTTTGTCCTAGAACCTTATGAATTAGATTTAAAGATAATGAACAGTAATCAAGCTCAAAGGAGCACTGGAACAATACAAATTGTCTTATGTTTCTCGAGTACTAAATTTCCAGGTTCAATCTGTTTTACTTATATACTAATCATAAAAGGCCTACTAGAACAATACAAACTGTCTTATGTTACTTTATAGAGTATCAATGATGTATCTGATTTGATATGTTTTGCTTATATACTGATCATAAAATATTTAGGTGCCAGATAGCTTATTTATTGTCAAGTAGTTAAAAGTATAATGGCTTTGATAAATTTGACCAACACAATAAATTTCAAATCAAATTCACTACATTGATGACATTTTCGCAAACAATATTTGTTAGAGTTTTCCTGTGTGTGAACATGGTGAAAGCTTTAATATTTCACTGACTGGTCAAACATAAAATTCTTCTAAATATCGCTCAGTAAAACATTCGAAATGTAACATTATTTAAGTAAAGATTTATTTGAACAATTTTTAAAAATATAACAAATGTAGTTCACATTAATCTTAGCTTCATTTAAGGACGATAACAACTTAAATTACATATAATTAAATTAATTAAACATTCAAGTCTGTAACTGATTATTGGTTAATTTATATTTATCATACATTACTCAATTTTTATTTATAATATCTAAATCTAAAGTAAACATACACCAACAACAAAGCCTATGATATAAAAAGACCCCCTCAATGTTTATCTAACATGTCTAATTATTACTTTGTATTACAATCCTTATTATTACTTAACTCACCAGTCAGATCATCCCCTTCATTAATAAGTTTGTAAATGTTCACTATGCTTTTGATCCCTGACCCAATCCAGAGAAGGTTAGTGTTGTCATCATAACTAAGGCCACATGGTATGTCTATCCCGTGATATCGTGTCTCTATCTGTGACAGGAATTCTCCATCCTTGTCAGTCATATGCACTGAGTGGGTGTTCCAATCACACACCAGGATGTGTGACAGCGCATCAGTACAGATTCCACGTGGATATAGCCGTGATCCAGATGGAGGTCCTGTGTAGGAGAAGCGAAATCTTCCCCCATGCTCCGTCACCACTACAGCATAACGGGTCCAGTCAGACACAATAACATCTCCATTGTGGTTCTCTGTGATGTAGAGAGGTTGTTTATACAGTTCCTGACCTGTATTGTGGTAGTACTGTATGGTCTGTATGTTTTCTCCTGTGGAGTTATACCGCACTAACTTGGCTGTACCTGTATCAGTATTAATCATTCCGACCAGCAGGTCTCCAGTGGAGGGGGAGCTGTAGACACACTCTGGTATCCATGGTGCTGTATACTTTATAAATGGTGTATTTACTTCGTTATCTGTAGACAATTTGTTGATGTTATACTCACTGTCTATATAAATTAAATCACCACCACTATTCGCTGTGTGTACTCCATAATTGTTACTTATATCTGTTTGATGATGTAGTTTAACACCTGCTGTGGTTACCAAGATGAGATTGTTATAACCATCAGTGATACAGACCCGGTCAAACGATACACGGGAAATGTGACGACCACTCGTAACACCTGTCACTCTGAAAGATTTCTGTAACACAAATCTAGACATCATTTACAGCAGACATTTATTTCCTACTTGTCTTTTCCTGTGGTTTCAGAATCTTGTGTTGATTTCCTCAGTCAGAGAGATTTCTCTGAAAATAACGACAATAACAATAAAAGGTCTCTCTTGACATTTTGTGTTTTTAATCTCTATGTATTTTATAACAAGAGGCCCATGGGCCACATTGCTCACCTGAGCGAGCACACTGGCTAGGAAGAAGCAGAAGTTCAGTTTTGAAGGAGGGGAGGGGCAAATTATATTTACACTACCTCAGGATGCTTCCTTATCAATATTACTAATTTTAGTCCTATGTATTCCTATGTAAAACTCTGATCTCTCATTGTTGCCCCACCGTACCCACCCTAAAGAACAAGGTACAGTTTCAGTACAAATCTGGCCCTGCATTTTTCTAAAATATGAAAGTGACGAAAGAAATTAAAACTCATGCTTTCTGAATCATTGAAATGCCATGCAATAAGATCAAAGAACTCGTATTTCTCATACGACTTTTATAAATGCTAATTGTGACATCATAAACTTGTACATTTTCCCGTATTTTCTTAAAAAGTTGCAGAAGACATCAATTAGTGAAACTTTCTTTCAGATGATATAGACCACATGCATTTGCCCACAAAGATTTTGAGAAATGTGATTCTTCAAAGAATTTTACACAACATATCCAAATATTGAAGTGGGCGAGGGCTGTGGACACTATTTTCTCAAGGAAAATAACCCCTGAAATGAGTCATTTTGAGGCTTTTTCTGCTTAAAACTTAGAAATATACCAAATTAATGACATCATATTTTCAGAATGGTCCTCATTCATGCCATATTGTTTCATGAATTATCACACTCATATACTCAACTCATATTTAAGCCAATTTCAAAACTTTTTGAAAACATTAATTTTTTAGGGCACAATAAAACCAAAGCTGTACCTACATGTATTTGAATCTACACTACCTGAGGATGCTTCTATAATAATATGACATCATGGCTTTGCTATTCTTGAGCAGCAGATTTTTTCAAGATGATTCCTATATATCCTTAGGCCAGAGTTTTTTTTATTTTCTGTTTAACGGGAATTTTTATTAAAAAGTTGGGTCGGGGGGACGAAATAAAAATTAAAAAAAGATAAATAATATTTAAAAAATGTGTTGTTTTGTTTTTTTTAAATACACAAAAACAATGAAAATCTGTAATTGTTTTATTTGGGTAAAGGAAACAGATATTTGTTATGTTAGTTTTTGCGTACTATGGCAAAGTCCTCCTGCAGCCTGCGGACTTCATCGCAGTTGGTTACGTCACCACAGTGGAAACAGACAGCATCAAATATTTGTGTCTTCCCTGTCACATAAAACATACACAGCTAATGAAGACTGTAGAAAAAACACAACATTCACTTGATTCACTTTTTTTATACAAACAATCAATAAAGCAATTTATAAATTGTTAACTTAATAGATACCTGAGTAATACTGTGTCTCTATGGGTGAAGAGCAGGAGATATTTTGTCTGCATAGTATGATGTCCTGATACTGACCCCCTGGAAACAAAGGATTTCCACAAATGTAGAGTAGTTCTTCTTGGACTCGTTCAACTGCCCTCTCCTCTGTTCTATTCAATTTTCTGCTTGCATAGATAACTCTTCTCTTTCCACACTCTGTACATAACACAAATCCTCTCACTTTTGCTGCAAAATATCATAGGAATTGTCACTAAATATACAATGTAGAAGTATAATATTTATCAACTAATACATTGGCATTTGTTACATGGTATGTGTACTTACTTCCAACCAAAAAGCTCTAAACCTCTTGTCTCTTTCTGGTGATTCTCCATGTTTCCCTGTCATACTTGGTCTATTCATATCATTAGTTTCCGTTCCATAGAGGTCTTGAAAATCTTTGTACTGCCCATTCTCATCCTGTGTAGGATCTGGCACAAAATGAAGTCCACAAAAGACATCATCTGGAAGCCTAGGAGGATTGAGAACACAATTCCCACAGTTGTCTGCCATACACTTCTTGATCTAAAAATTAATTGCTCTATCAAATAAAAGTTGCACTGTATGTACTAACATAAATTAAATACATTGTATAAAAGTATATGCAGCATGCACTTTCAATCTCCATTTATCAATATAAATATGACCAAAAAGCTTTCTTTATTTTAATACACACCTGAAAAGAGTACTGACGGCTTCTGGAATGTGATTCCAGGAAAGCATCAATTGCTTTAGATTGTAGGGTTGACAAATTTGCATCACAGTGAATATTCTCATCCAGCACTTTCAACATCTCCACCAAAGCATACATTTCTTCTTGACTAGCTTGATCATGCACACATACATTTTCTCCATTCCATCTAAGACGCTTAAATCTTTCTTTTAAAATGTTCAATGAGACTTCAACTGCTTGTGTATACTCTTCTTTAAGTTTCTGGTTTTTACTTCCCAAATTTCTCAGCTTCTTAAGTGAGCTTGCAGACTTGACTTGCATTTCACATTCTGGAGACATAGCAGCTCGCTCCAATGCTACATTCTGTAATGCTAAATTAAGAAGACTCATTGTTCTTTCTACTGGATTAGCATAACTCCCACAAGGTGCTGTTCGTGCACACACTATCATGTCCAAGTCCAGAGCAATGAACTCCATAAGAGCACAAAGTTTAACACTTTTGTATGTTGTCCTGTGGTCTGGTCCACCGTCAGTACAACAAATGAGCACAGGAGTTCGCAGGTTCACCTCATCAACTGAGTAGCACTGTCGCATTAATGACACATTTTCAGTAGAATGTCGCAGTGGTGAGGAAGCTTGAAAAACGTTATCTTTGACAGTAACATTAAGAAGTCCATGTAAAAAGAGTCCTTCGGATTTTCTGGTATGTCATTTACAAAGCAAACAGAAGGAATTATCCCACCAACATGACAGTCGTGGTCCAGTGCTACAACTTTCATGCATCCACCTAAAAGTCCACCATGGTGAACACGTACCCCAGTTGAAACTGGGTGACCAGGTTCTCCCAGAGGTATGATGGCCTTATCATCCATGCATTGAAATGTTGAAAAATCACGCATACGACAGGTAAATTCTTTTAACATGGAAAAAAGGACTGCACAATAATGGGAGTCGGGGTGCTGCACTTGAACCAATCTCTGTTGCACAGCAAATCTTACATTATATTGTCCAGTGTAATTCTTAGCTGTTGTGTTGTACACATTTGATGGACTAAAGTTCAGTTTTATCCAAGACACAGATGGAGCCTCTGAACCCTCAGGCAATCTATCTAGTATTTGACTTCTGAGATCATCAACAGAAATCGCAATTGGTAAGTAAAGTCTATCGTTTGAAAGTCTTTCATGAACAGCTGCTTTTTCATCAAAACATTTCCCAAGCTCTTTCCAGAATGGCTTGAATTTCTCTTCTGCAGGTCTGCAATTATTTTTTCGCAAATCAAAGATCAATTCACAATCTTCACTATCCAAAAGAAACTTCATGAAGCGTTCATCAATCTGTAAAGCATTTGCAGAATTGGCCTGATATTCAAACTCTGTGAGATAAGAATACATATTCCTTAATATTACTGGCTGTAAGCTGGTACAGGATTTATATCGATCTATAAATTCTTTTTGCATCTTTCTAGTTGAAAATTTCAGTATGTTTCTTTTATTTTGTCAATAACCTTAACTTGTTTCACTGTGTCTCTGCAAGTTGACTCTGGAAGTTTCCACAAGACATTCATGTTTCCAAGATAGTTTCCATATTGGAATGAATACAATGCAACAGAACTTGATAAGGATAAATGTTTTATCCATTTTCTTCTTTCCTCCTTATCATTAGGTTCAAATCTAATGAGATCAATCGGTTGATATTCTGCCAGATCTTTAAGGCACAAATCCAGAGCTTTATACTCTACGGGCACATTTTCCACAGACTCAATGACTCTGAGTATCCAGTTGTCTTTCAAATCTCTAATGGGCACTGTACTTTCGTGGTTTGCCTTCATCTTCTTATTGCAGTCACATAAATATTCCTCATATTTCTTCAGATTTGAAATTAAATCTTCTATGGAAGTGTACAACTCTTTAAACTGGGGATTCATCATCCATGGAATAGTGAGAAGCGATGACAAATTCTGTGCATTTTCTTTCAAGTCAATGGAAGTAACCTTAAAAATATAAAAATATATTCATTAAATTATACTCTATAAACAATTTGACTACTGTTGTATTACCCCTATATCATGTGTTTAAAAATCAGTTGTACATGAAGAAAATAACACAAAAAACATTACCTCAAATTAATTTCGATTGTAGGCATATTTTAAATATGGTAAATTTCAATCAGTTTTTTTTTAATTCATGAATGCAAGGGCAAAATACTTCTTTAGATTAAGTTTTTTTGTAATTCTCATCTGGTATATAAGTCAGACATTAATGGTACACACACCTGCGGGATTTTTTTAAGTTGGACTTTCAAATCACGGTACCCAGATAAATCCTTGAAGAGCTTTGGCAGTTGCAAACCTCTTTTCTGAAATTTCTCGTGATGTGGATCCAGATACCAAAATGTCTGGGTTAATGTGGAAACAACGTGGTTACCTACACTGTCGACTTGGTGGTTGGTAAACCCAAAGCTGTGCTTTCTCATTATTGAAATTACATCATTGTATAATCTATCCTTGGAAGTATTTTCTTTTCTACAAGATATTACTTAATTTTTATAAGGCTTAACAAGAATTTCATTCTAAATAGTTTTGTATTTATATGCCATTTGGAATTTTCCTTCATATTTAAATCCAACTGGTACTAAAAGTATTTCAATTGAGATATTTACCTTTGTGCAGGATATTGTGTGTAGCTCCTGGTAGCTGTCATTAGTACATCAAATATACTTTTACCCTGGGTTGGTTTGTTGTTGTTGGAATCCTGCTCTAATTTGCACACCCATGCGGAAATCGTTTTACATCGGAAAAAAAGTTCATCCATCCTTTACTCTCCTTATGTGATTATTATTATTAAAATTATAAATGAATGTAACTTCGCATACACCCATTCATACAACGACTTTTCATTTCTTTTTAACTACATTCAGAACCGTAGAGAACAGTAAACTGTGTATTAAATTACTCATGTTTCAAAGGACTTACCCAAAATCTTTGAGAACACCAACAGGTGTCAAGGGTCAATGTCTGTGCCCCCGCTTTCAATTCTAGATATTTGAACAGCGTCAGATTTATCAGATTTTTCCAGCAATACAGATATGACACGTCTGATATCATCATCAAGTTTTGCTTTAACAAATTTGCTCTGACATATTGCAGCGTCAATGCATCTAATCTTGATTTTAACATACACGTGATCCGCCATTATGATGATTTTCTTTCCCGGGAAACGGGACATACTAAAACAAGTCCCACGGGGAAAATAAGTCCCACATGAGTCCCACAGAAAAATAATAAGTCCCAGCAGGAAATATGATATTTTAGTAATGTTTAAGAATATATCTGTATAGATTATCATTCTTTAAATATATTTTGAATAAAAAATCATTAAAAAAAAGTGTTTAGAAGCATATTCTGATCGGTTAAAAAACAAAGAACGATAACTCTTACATCCTCACATAACTTGAGTGCAATTTCCAAGTCCCACCAATGATGACAACAATCTAGTGGGAAACTGTCGTTTTATGAACTGGTTCTCTAAAAATTCGTGATCAGTTAGATGCATATTTATATTGAGCTCAATAATGCATTAGATCAAACATTTCATTGGTTTAGTTAAATAAATTTAGAGTATAACGATCCCGATTTTATTTTAAATAATCGATCAACAACAGGGTCGGTGCAAGTTTAAAAAATAAAAACGATTTCAACCTCTTTTATTTTTTTTTTTTCGGTATTTGGAGAAAATTGAGTCGGTGCTTCCCGTTAAACAGAAAATAAACAACTCTGGCCTTATGCAAAACTTTGACCCTCTGTTGTGCACTCCCTCATCCACTATGGGGTCATAATTTGAACAAACTTGATTCTACAATACCTAAGGTTGTTTCTGTATAAATATGACTAATAATGGCTTGTTTGTTCTTGAGAAGAAAATGTTAAAGATGTTTTCTATATAACGTGTATGATCAAGTTCTTACAAGGGATATTTATATAAGTTTTCTTTTTACTCTGAGTTCATGATTGGAATGATTGTTAAGATATATCACGCATAAAACTCTGATATTAAATAAAAGCACTTTACAGTAGAAAAGAGGAAGTTTCAAAGATGTAATTAACTGAGCAGTAATTAGTTAAAAACGATTGCATTGAAGTCTATGGGGAGAAGTGATTTTTTAAAAATAAAAATTCAAATAATATCAAGAAATACTGTGGATTAAATGAATTTAATTAAATTAAAATCTTAGAAATAGAATGACCATTGAAAACCAGATAATTTTGTTTAAATTGATTTTTTATTAATTAAAAACAGAGGGAAATACCTCTTCCCAAAATTCAAGGTCATAAATAAGGATACATCCCACTCCTACATACTAATAGTAATAAATGAATAAATGGTAATTTTGTTTAAATATACTGAATATACTGAGTATTCAACACCTACATGTCATGTAATATTTTTCATTGAATCTGTCGCTGTTTGGGATTGAATACCTTAATTTCTTTGTTGCTGATTCCACATCCAACTTATTCAGCTAGCTTCTGAATGCCTGACCTTCCCAAAGCTTTGCCTTATATACCCTTTGGTTTGGCTAGTCAATTCCAAGGTTGTCAGGTCATTCCATTATTTGAAGTCTTCAATGAGTTTTACTCAAATGCCCCTTAACCATTACACCTATATATTCCTATGTAAAACTTTGACCCACTGTTTTGGCCCCGCCCTATCCCCTGGGGTCATGATTTGAACAAACCTGAATCTACACTACCTGAGATACTTCTGTATTAATATGACTGATAATGGCTTAGCTGTTCTTGAGAAGAAGATTTTTAAAGATATTTCCTATATATTCCTATGGTAAACTTTGACCCCCTGTTGTGGCCTTGCCCAATCCTCAGGGGTCATGATTGGAATAAACTTGAATCTACACTACCTTAGAATACTTCTATTATAATATGACTAATCTTGGCTTTGCTGATCTTGAGAAGAAGATTTTTAAAGACATTTCCTATATATTCCTATGTAAAATTTTGACCCCCTCTTGTGGCCCCGCCCTACTCCCTGGAGTTATGATATGATCAAACTTGAATCTAGAGTATGTAATGAAGCTTTCACATAAGTTTCATCTTTTCTTGCCCAGTGGTTCATGAGGAGAAGATTTTTAAAAGATGCCACCACACCAAAGTTTCACGAATTCTTAATTATCTCCCCTTGAAAGAAGGTGCGGCACTTCCTGTGAACAAACTTAAATCCCCTTCACCCAAGGATGCTTTGTGGCACATTTTGTTGAAATTGGCCCAGTGGTTCTTGAGAAGAAGTGGAAAATGTGAAAAGTTTACGGACTACAGACAAGGGACGACAGACGGCCGCTGGACACTCTTTAATTAGAAAAGCTCACTTTAGCCTTCAGCTCAAGTGAGCTAAAGACAAACTGTTTAGTTCTGTTACAGATTCCTTTTAATATGTTTTGTATATTATCATATATCTATATCCTAAACTGTCATTTTTCATACAATTTAGATCATGACAATTGTGTTTGTTTAAACTGTAGATAAAAATCCTATTATTTACCTGTACACACTGATGTAGAATCCTGAGTCTGCACAACCTGTA